GAGGGCGACACACACACCCACCGCGTCCGGTACAAGCGCGCAGGAGAAGGGCCCTTCCGTGGCCCAACCCTTCCCGGGGAGACTCAGACGGCCGGTCTATCTCAAGGGTCCGCCACCGGCGGGGGGAGGGGGGGGGGGGGGGGGGGGGGGGTTCCTAACACTTATACCAACCCTGAAGTAGTGTATTTGGCACAGAAATACTCCGTCATACGTCCAACTCATTTTTTTCAACTTTGGCCATGTTTAGCATGAGAATCCAACTCTATAACACTATATGTCAGAATGCATGAAATAGCATTAGACCTCCACTTAAATTAATTTTAATAGGATATATTAGCATGTATAATACAAAAAGGAAAATTCTACTTTAAACATACAAAAGCTGTCACTGAGGTGGTACCTTTTCAAAAGGTACTATATTTATTGCAAAGAGTACATATTAGTACTTAAATGGTATATTTTAGTACCTAAATGGTGTGATGTACCTTTTGTATGGTGTGGCCACAATAACAGCTTTTGGACTTTTTTTATGTGAGTGTAACAACACCCAAAACAAGGACTATAAATAAAATAAAAAAAACACAAATTTTATAGAACCTTCTATTTTTTATGAAATTTCATTATTTGTAATCTACAAAAAAAATCCATTGTGCTTATACAACTGAATTAAGGCTGCTCTGTGCATGCTCAAAGTGCAGCATAAAATCCAGACTAAATTATGCCTGCTCAGACCCACCACGTATCATAGTGTACAGTTGGAATTGCTGTGTAAATACAATGCCACCTCTGAGCAGCATTAAACAGTCTGTCTAAAGACACCTGAATGCCACTTCAGAAGCATTTCTGTGCCACCTTTGCAGTGTAAATTTGGCGTTAATGTATTACATAAATTCAAAAACCAAGTAGGATTTATAGCAATCTGTGATTCATAAGACCTTCAGACAAGCTTATGCAGTAGGTGTTGGTTTTTATGGCTGATTAGGAGATGAAGGTGTTGGAAGTACGGGTTAAAGCAGGTTAATTAGGCGGGGGGCAGGGAATGCTGTGATCTCTAACTTCAGTCTGTTTTTTCTCCGGAGTGATCATCCACCTCTAATGCTCCTTACGCTGCCAAAGTGTGATGACAATTACACGCAGGGAGTCTCATGAAGAGGATTAAGGTGTCACCCATGGAGTTCTTTTGCTCAAAGGATTTCAGAAATCCTCAGAAATAAATTTGATGAACTAATCATTATGCAGTATTCTCTACAGTGATTAACGCTCATGCCTCAGCCACAGGAAGCCAAACAGCCATTTCTGATTGTTGATATATTAGTGGGTGCTGGTGGGTGGTTGTAGTTGAGGGCATTCTTACCACTTTCTGTTCTGATGCAGAAGCGATGCTTGAAGCCCTTGTGGGAGTGGGAGCAGGTGATGACTTCGGGGCTGGAACAGCCTACGTCCACATACCTCTGGTTATGCACAATGTTACAGGCATAACATTGCAGCGCGTCAGCTATAAAGCAGAAAGCAGATCTTTGTTTGCATCTGAGTTATGGAGAATAATGAAAAGCAAGAACAAAAAGCGGCCAACTGTGTTCCGAAATTTGGACTAAATGTGCAACTATCTTCTTTCACCATCAGTTACTCCATGATTTCACACGCTGGAGCTGCAGATCAAGCAGGGACGAGGTTGTAGCGACTGAGACTGAAATTAGCCCCGAGGTTTTAAGTCACTCAGCCATGTGCTCAGAACCCTGCTGTTGATACACATGGGTTTAGCTGCACGGTGCCTCTAGCTACACTATGACAGGTGGTTGTTAGGCTAATGTACTGCTCCTCTTTGGTAATGTTGTGCGTGAAGACCAGTGCATACCATATTATTTATGAAACACCTCAAAAAGCATAAATCATTTACATCAACAAGGAAAAGCATTGACTTGCGTGCATTATTGATGTCTCACTAATCTTCTGAATGATTTGCAGTGACATGCAATCTGTATCTGGCATCGTGCTTTGAAACTATCCAGTAGAAATCTGTGTGATATGTGTACAGTTTCTGACAGGCTATTGGCTTTTTCTCATGTATGGTAATTTATCATTTCTGGTGATGTGATCTCCATGTCCTTTTTAAAATGCAAAGTTCATCTGGTGGCGGTGGTTCACTTTATATAACCCCCTCACTGGAATCTGTTCAGACATAAATGTTGTATTTGCATTTAAGATTAGATCTAAATGAGAATAGTTAGCTTTAGGAGGCAACACTGCAAGCAAACAAAGATATTTGAATTCATTACTGTCATATAGCTCACATACATTTAGCATGAAGAATTATACCTCAAAGTGTCAAATACAAAAAGTGTTTGTTAGACGTTTGTTAAGAGTTATACAGTGATAAATGTTGCATGGAGGTCACAGAGCAAATTCAGTGTCAGGTGGATTGTTGACAAAAATAAGGGCATCTAAACCTTTGCTATATAACAAAAACTACATAGACATACAATTTTTGTATAAATTAGAGAAAATACAAGAAAAATACATAGAGAAAATACAAACACTGTTCAAAGTCTACACTGCAAAAAAGAAAAAGAAAATCAATATGTTTGCCTTGTTTCCGAGTAAAATTATATAAATATCCTGATAATGGGGTACATTTACTTGAGATGCAAAATTGCACACAATATTATGACTTGCTCTCAAAGAATATGTCTTGAATTCAGCTTATTTTTCTTACCAAATAGTACTTTAGCATATATCTAACAAATTGTAAAATTAACGTAAAAAATGTAATAATAATACTAATAAAATGAATGGGTAAGTAAAAGTTTAAGATATATTTAAGAAATATTCCAAATATATGTTGAGATATATTTTCTATAAGTAAATATTTTACTTGAGTGTCTCAAGAAAATTTATTTTATTTTAAGAATGTTTTGTATATTAATACAAATTAGTAATTTATAAAAAGTTACAAAATTGTTACAAAATTGTAAAGTTACATCTGTATTCTGTTTTGTCTTCTTCAATGTGACTGACACCAATCAATACACACACACACACACACACACCTACCTTGTGTCATAAGAAGTGTCAACAATGCCAAGAAATAATAAAGTCCAAATCCATTCAGCAGGTATTTATGGAGAATCATGGGTACAGCTGGTGGAAAAGTCACCCAGGCAGAGCAATGAAGGGCTGAAGGAGCAATGAATCCTCCTGGGAGTAGAGCTTTCTGCCTCTTTTAACATGAGCCACCACTCTCAAACAAAACACACTCACACTGATACTCCAAAGGAAAAGGGGAGGGGTCTCATATAAAAAAGAAGTATCAATAATGAGCCGTTAAGAATAGACTACATGCGTTACATCAAAATAAAGTGCAGTCATTTGTCCCTGGTTTCTCCCATCCTTCCTAAGCCCTAGAGGGAGTCTTCAGTCCCTGGCAGACGCGTACAGTCTGCCTGAGACCCTCTGCTGGATCAGAGGTAATTTGCTCATTGATAATATTTTTGTATAAATTAGAGAAAATACAAGAAAAATACATAGAGAAAATACAAACACTGTTCAAAGTCTACACTGCAAAAAAGAAAAAGAAAATCAATATGTTTGCCTTGTTTCCGAGTAAAATTATATAAATATCCTGATAATGGGGTACATTTACTTGAGATGCAAAATTGCACACAATATTATGACTTGCTCTCAAAGAATATGTCTTGAATTCAGCTTATTTTTCTTACCAAATAGTACTTTAGCATATATCTAACAAATTGTAAAATTAACGTAAAAAATGTAATAATAATACTAATAAAATGAATGGGTAAGTAAAAGTTTAAGATATATTTAAGAAATATTCCAAATATATGTTGAGATATATTTTCTATAAGTAAATATTTTACTTGAGTGTCTCAAGAAAATTTATTTTATTTTAAGAATGTTTTGTATATTAATACAAATTAGTAATTTATAAAAAGTTACAAAATTGTTACAAAATTGTAAAGTTACATCTGTATTCTGTTTTGTCTTCTTCAATGTGACTGACACCAATCAATACACACACACACACACACACACCTACCTTGTGTCATAAGAAGTGTCAACAATGCCAAGAAATAATAAAGTCCAAATCCATTCAGCAGGTATTTATGGAGAATCATGGGTACAGCTGGTGGAAAAGTCACCCAGGCAGAGCAATGAAGGGCTGAAGGAGCAATGAATCCTCCTGGGAGTAGAGCTTTCTGCCTCTTTTAACATGAGCCACCACTCTCAAACAAAACACACTCACACTGATACTCCAAAGGAAAAGGGGAGGGGTCTCATATAAAAAAGAAGTATCAATAATGAGCCGTTAAGAATAGACTACATGCGTTACATCAAAATAAAGTGCAGTCATTTGTCCCTGGTTTCTCCCATCCTTCCTAAGCCCTAGAGGGAGTCTTCAGTCCCTGGCAGACGCGTACAGTCTGCCTGAGACCCTCTGCTGGATCAGAGGTAATTTGCTCATTGATAATCCCAAAGCCCCAGATAAACACTTTCACGCCCAGTTTCTCGCTGTGACAGAAGAGTCAGTCTCGATGCACTTATGTGTGTGGTATTAGTGTGTCTGAGTCCTCAGGCCATATTGCATTTAATGAAAATTTAAGAAGCAAATCCTCACTCGGGAAGTGATGTTTAATGAAGGAGTGGGTGGGTTTTTGGAACAAACACAGACATGAATCAAAAGCGCTTGCTGTGCTTTGAAGGGTCCAATCAGTTTCAGAAGTGATTAGATGGTGACCCGAAACACTTTCATATACACTCATTAATGTTAGATGTATCTCCCTCTTCTTCTGCCACTCTTCCTGTCTGTCTCTTAACAGAGTTTCTGTTCGTAACACTGGCTGTCAGGATTAAGAGAGTAGAGGTGTCTGGCATGTGTGAGGTGTAGCGGATCTAATTGGGGAAGTGGTAAGGATGTCATCAATATTCGTATGAATTAACACATTGCAGTTAAAGGAGATGTATGGGTGCACATTTTATTCATTTACTCTTTTCTAACCCACAATAACATAGTAAAATTAGATTTTTTTTCATGTTCTAAAGAAACTGTGATTGTTTGCCCATGCAAAATTCGCCACAATTCTATATATTAAAAAAAGTAGGTTCCCAGTAGGTTCCCTTTCTCTATTTGCTGAAAATGTATAATAGATTTAACAGGACATTTCATGACAGGGTGTTGCTGTATGGTTGCTAGTGTCTCCTTGGTAATTTCTAGGGCATTGCAAGGTGATTGATAAGGTGGATGCCATGTGGTTACTTACTGTCCCAAGTCAAAGAGTCAAATCTCTATATTCTGATCTCTATATAAGGCCCGAGTGGGAATTTATTATTGTTATTATTATTATTATTATTATACTCTGCTAGTCACAAACCATTAATCCAATTACTTTTAAAAGTTAACAAGCCATACAATTCGAGCTATCATTCATGAAGCACAAACAGCGCAGGATGAGTTAGCATGAGCATTGTCACTAATTTGATCATTTGATTAATGATCCAGAAAAAGTGTCTTTAAAAAAACATTAATATTATGTATTCATTGTCATAACGCTTCTTTATTTCATTAAAAAAAAGAAAGAAAGAAAAAGAAAAGAAAACATGTTCATTTCCAGGTTTACAATAGATTTTGAATCCCAGATGTTCAGTGTGTGTTGCTTAAAATGGAAATACTCTTTCATAAATACATTTTTTATTTATTTATATTCTTATATTAATTAAAAGCAAAAACTAAGTCTAAACTGTATTTCAAAGCAAAAACTAAAACTGTTATGATGTATTTTAGTACTTTAGTATTTTAGGAAATACTATTTCCTGCCTGGAATAGAAAGTGTGAGTGGAGACTGAAAAAGTTTATGTCTTCACTTCTACTCTGTTTGGCATGATCCAGAAATGCAGAGATTAACCCTGCAGATGAGGAGCAGCTTCCCAAGTAGCTCCTGGCTTAGCTTTGGGTTACACATAATTGTTCATAATAGCTCTGCATGAGTCTGTTGTTATTTAGGACAGCAAAGGAGTGAGTGACAAGCGTGCGATGCAGGATTCTGAATCCTCCATGCTGTGCAGGCACAAAGACAAAGACAGCTGAGGCGCCGGCCCAGCAATATTGGCGAAATCACGAGAACACAAAAGCATGAAATTTTCATCTCGCTCCAAGCATCCAAAAGGCAAGCCTTCTGTTATATCTCACGTCTTTCAGATGGTGATGAAAGATTTGCTGTTTACTCCAGTACTTACAGCTATTCATCAGGTGTGTGATGGTCTCATAGTGACATTAATCAGTAATCCCTGTTAAAAATGTGCCTGCATGAGAAGAATATATGGATTTCAAAGACTACCCGATTACTGTAATTTCATTTAAGCTTGATGGTCTCACATTAGGCTGTGGCAGGAATTCAGCTGAGCTTATGCAGTATTTGTTCTCAAATCAGGCGGTATTGTTGGAAAATTGTCCAGTTGGCATGAAGGTCTAATTTTTGTGGTACATAGTAACCTTATTCAGAACAGGTATATTTCTGAATTTTCAGCCTAAAGATGAATTATAGTGCATTGTGCAAGATATTATGCACTTCTCAGGAAAAAGCTGGTCACAATGATGACGTCTAAGATGTCTAGAAAACAGGCAAGCGTCTTCTTTTTGTCCATTTCTGTACAGTGGATTGCGGCTCTTAAAACAGTGATTGCCGCAGGGCGAGTCTACGGCTGAACTCCAGTGACTCAGCCTGCAGTCCAGCCCTGCCTGTTCACTTTCATATAGATCAAAATAATCTGGAGACAACTCACAGTACTCACTCTGAACATCAACTCAGTAGTAAATAATAAATAAAATAAATTTGAAAAAAAAAAAAAAAAAAATTTTTGATTGATTATTTTTTATTATTGATAGTGAACAGTGTAATAATATTATTACTTCACAAATTTGCAATGGAGCATGCATTTGCAAATATTGAGCATTATTAAATCATGGCATGTTCTGAGGATGATTAAGGTGACAGACAGTGTTCAGTGATGCTTATAAGAGAATAAATGCAGCCTGATGTGAGAATACAACAGCAGATGCTTTTAATTCTCAAAGATAATAATGACCTTTCAGAATATGAACTAGCTAAACAAAATTGGGCTGTGTGAGTATAATCAGATTTGAGAAAGCATTTCATTGGTGCTCTCGAAGAGTCAAAAGCTTACAGTAATCCGTAAAGTGCAAACAAGTCTTACAGTAAGTGCCAGTAAGCAGCTAAAGGGTATCCTAAATACAGTCAGCTGAGGGCATGCTGTCAAATCAGGCACTGAGAGTGTCACACTGTGTAATGCCAGTACATGTCCACTAGAGAGCAGAGTAGGTTACTCATCGACCCCAAGCTCAAATTGTACTGTAGGATACATTTGTACTGCCGGAGAGGTTTTAAACAAACCCTATTTTTCAGTGGTTTGTATGGTGATTTCAGTACTGTTGCTAATGGCTTAACCTTAACAAATGTCTTTCCCTGACTATTCTTATATTATATTCTGACGTCACTTCCTGTTTGTTGCTGCTGTGTGTTTTGAGTTTGAGCTCCGTCAAGTTAATTCTTTATCGTCTATTTTTTAATCTTAAAATCAATTTTATACACCATAATTTTCGTTTCTATGACGTTTGAATATATCCCCTATCATATTCTACAACAAAAACAATCAGAGCGCCTTGTTATCACTAGTTCTATTTTGACTTCCCGAGTCCGCTATTAGCATATAGGCCGTTAGCATCGCCAGCGTGGTTGCCGCTAATCTCGCTTACATTGCTAATACTCTATTCACACACATTACCATTGTTTTACTCACTCTTACTTGCTTTAATGGCGGATGTGTGTCTACCGTTGAGTGCAGGTGAGGACACGTTTTGGAGCTGGAGGCTGTGGAAAAGGAGATCCGCGACCTGGTGGAGAGGCAGACCCAGCTGAGAGAGCGAAGAGCTGCACTGGAAACATCCCAGGCTGACGCTCACAAGTCCGAGGTAAGTATACAGCCCGCTGCTAACTCTCCCACCACCTCTACATTGTGTGTTTCTCTGCACAGGCCTGGTGCACCCAGGACGCGATCTTCCCAGATGTCCTTCACTCCGGCGCCGGGACACCACGGACCCTGGGTGCAGCCGCAGCGGAAGACTCGAGCCAGGCCCCAGGCAACGACCTCTTCCCCTCCGCCGCCTCCGGTCTTCGAGATCTCCACCCAGAACCGCTTCGCTCCCCTCCACGAGACGGAAAGCGACGCTGTGATCATCGGAGACTCCATCGTCCGGCACGTCCATGCTACGTTAGCTGAAGGTAAAGTGCACACTCCCTTTTTCCCTGGTGCTCGATGTTTCTGCACAGATACCCACGATCCTGAAGGGCGACGAATGAATGTCACATACAACCGTCATCTGCAAATACT